TCCATTTCCACAGCTCCCAGTCTGATAAGCCGCACTTGTGCAACACATGGATCTTAATGAGCGTTTCCACATACATTCCTTCATGCGTTTTCCTCATTCACCGCATCACTGGCTTTTTAGAGGAGGTGAAGAACAGCTGACAGTTGTAGAGCTAAGTTGTCCCATTCATACTCTTGCTCCGAAACGTGACCTCTGCTTGTCTTGTTGGAGACCTGGGTTTGGCCACCATCACTGTCCACCATTGGTGCTGGACATCTGCTGTGTCCTGAGTAACCATCTATCTGCTTATCTGACCATACCTTCCTCTGCTTAACTGAATTAATGCTTTTCAAGCCCCAACTCGATTCCTAACTCCCCTTTGGGGTACAGGCCTTTGGTTCCAAACACTATTGTGTGAATGAATAACAGTCTGTGATAAAATTTTCACTGGTTTGTGGCAATGTAAGAATGATATAGTGAATTTTTCATGAACTTCCATTCACTTAAAGAACTATTATTATGCAGTCATTGAAAAAAATAAAGTAAATCTGTGTGTACTAACATGACAACTTGTCTGATTCATTGTCGAGTGGGAGAAAAGATCCCATGCGTGTGTTTAAAGTACACATCTACTTGAGTATGCATAGAAAATATCCTGAGGGATACATAAGAAACTGGTAAAATTAGACACCTTTGAGGAATGGGATGGGGTAAGGGGCCTTAAGTGGACTTGTTTATAAGGAAAATATTAGTTTAAATTTTTTTTAATGTGAATTTTGAGATTATCATTTCTACTTTTTTGGCATTCGAAGATTCTTTTGTGAAATGATGGTGATGGTGGAGGTAGTTAGGTTTTGTTTTGTTTTGAATCGTTCTCAACACAATAAGAAGTTGCCAATATGGCTGTGGCCACATGGATCTCTCCTGTCTCTGAATTACTATTGCTAATGACAATCTCTTAGCACTCAGCTGTTCTGCACTTGTTTCATGTGTTGGGGCAATGCAAGGGTAGACCACAAGACTCTAGTTCACTATACATTACCTAGCCTCACACTGGCCACACCAGGTGACCATCTGGAAACCTTTATTATTTGATTAATCTTCAGCATCAGGTTTCTTAATTCAAATTGTTTTAAAAGTGAGCCAACAATTTTTTTTTCTCTTTTCCAGGAAGGTGCAATGGCAAGGAATTTATCAGTAATCTTAATCCTGACCTTCGCCCTTTCAGTTACAAATCCCCTTCATGAACTAGAATCAGCAGCTGCTTTTCCTCAGACCACGGAGAAAATTAATCCAAATTGGGAATCTGGCACTAACGTTGACTTGGCAGTTACCACACAGCGACATCATCTACAACAGCTTTTCTACCGCTATGGGGAAAATAATTCCTTGTCAGTTGAAGGGTTCAGAAAATTGCTTCAAAATATAGGCATAGATAAGATTAAAAGAATCCATATACACCATGACCGAGAGCATCACTCTGACCACGAGCATCACTCCGACCACGAGCATCATTCTGACCATGATCGTCACTCTCACCGTAACCATGCTGCATCCGGTAAAAATAATCGGAAAACTCTTTGCCCAGACCATGACTCCGATAATTCAGGTAAAGACCATAGAAACAGCCAGGGAAAAGGATCTCACCGACCAGAACACACGAGTGGTAGAAGGAATGTCAAGGAGAACGTCAGTGCTAGTGAAGTGACCTCAACTGTGTATAACACTGTCTCCGAAGGAACTCACTTTCTAGAAACAATTGAGACTCCAAAACCTGGAAAACTTCTCCCCAAAGATATAAGCAATTCCACTCTACCCAGTATCACAGAAAAGAGCCGGGTAAGCCGGCTAGCTGGTAGGAAAACAAATGAATCTGTGAGTGAGCCCCGAAAAGGCTTTATGTATTCCAGAAACACAAATGAAAATACTCAGGAGGTAAGATAAGTGCTGTTCATTATTTTAATGTACCTGTGTGTCTGTCCTGTCGTTGCCACTCTATCTCTAGTTGTAAACGAGTTTAACATAAAATGGTGAAGTTACTGAAAAGAGAATTTCCACCTTCTCAGTAAGGCACTTGACTCAAGGTGTGCCTGCTATGTTGTAAACATTCCTGATACAGAACTTGGGGAATAGTTCTTTGGTCAGCACAGTGCTGCCTGCTATAATTTTTTCTAATATAAAATGTAAAATATGTGTAGGAAGATATTAAGGTTATTTTTTAGAGAACGTCTATAAAAGTGAGTATTACTAATAAAAAGTAGAAAATGAGGGGTTGAAAAAGCAGGAGTTGGAATTCATGTTTTAGGGGAAGATGTGGCCAAAGGGGTAAAGAATGTTGAAAAGAGCACTGCTATCTCCTTGGGAAAAGGACCACAATGACTTGGGGAGTGGTTGAAATTGGAACAGCTACCAAGAATGTCATTCTGGATGAGTGAAAAATCTGGGCAGTGAGGTTCTGAGTTCATGTGGTTTTTCTAGAATAGACTTCCAGACTGTACATAATTCCCCTTGGCTGAGAGATATCAAGAACAAGGAATTAGTTGGTATACTTTAGTAAGCAGAATTTAAGTACTTCGTTCCAACCAATATATGACTATACAGATTCTAGAATACTAGTGATGGTCATAGCAATAGCAACACTGGTGATGAAGTTTGCTCTGAGGTAGTATTGGCTGAGAATTATGGGAGTTTAAAAAGTCTTTA